GGGACCCTACCGCCCCCTTTTTCTGTCTCCTGTATAGGTTAACAGCCCGCAGCTCATACCTCCCCCCTCCCCCCCCGGTCTTTCTCTGTCCCCCGGCCCACGCAGCATCCCCCCCCCGGGCTCCCGCGGACCCCTCTGCCCCCCTCCATCCTGCCCCCCTCACCCCAGGCACCCCCCAGGCGCTAGCTCCGGAGGGGACCGGAGTGTCCCGGGGATCAGGATTTAGGGCAGGGACCTTCGCCAAGGGCATGGTGGCGGGTGTCGTCCCCGTCGTGTCCCCCCCCGTCACGGATGTCACCCCCTGGGTGACAAGGCACAAGCATCGCTGGGAGCTTTCCCAGGGTTTGCTTCCTGCTGGGGCTTCTCTGGTGGCTAGTAAAGGGTTGGACTCCCGTGGCAGCCTCTCCCGGGGACTGTGGGAGTGCCGGTGGCAGCTTTCTCGCCTCCCTCCTTCCGTGGAGGGAGCAAATACCGGCGATGCCTGCGCCTCTGGGAAACGTGGCGAGATTGGGCAATGGGTTCAAGTGCTGCTGGGGGAAGGGACTCTCCCACGCACACACAGCGAGCAGGAGGGAATGAGCATCGTTTCCATAGGGAAACAGGCTAAATACGCCGGCATCCCTGCCTGCCACCCGGGGGGCTGGGGACCCACCCAGCCTGAGCCCTCCGCACCCACACTTTGGCCAAATCGGTATTCCCCATCGGTGTAAAAGCTTTTATCCTCCCTCTGCTTTCATCCTCCCTCCGCGCTGGCTTCCAGGCTGCACTCTGACCAGAGGAGAAAGGTCTGCAGGCCCTGGGTTGCTCAGAGGAGGAGGAGGAGGAAGGAGCGGTGGTGTTTGCTCTGCCCAGGTGCAGGCAGGGTCAGCCCACGGTCTGCAAGGCCTGGCTTTGGCCGTGTGTTATTAACCTCGGCTCGGAAAGGTTTTTCTTTTCTCTGTCCTGGCTCTTCTCAGCAGCCGGTGAAGAAGCGGGGACAGCTCACACCCAGGTCAGCAGCCTGGGAATGGCACCTGGGTGCCCAAAACCCAGCGCAGGGCTCCTCCCCCCATCTCCCCATCCCCATGAACAGGAACAAAAATCTGTCCCCCTCCCCAGCAGAGACTAGCAAACCCAGTGCTCAGAGGAGAAGCTGGCCTAGGAGTGGGCGGTGGGAGGAGAAGGCGGCAAATTCCCACTCTCACCTGGTCCAAGGAGGATGTTTTATCCCTGGGGCTAGACGTCTCGAAGGGAGATGGTGCCTGCAGGTTTTGTGCGCACTGGGGAGGGGAGCGGGACTGTATCCCTCCCAGGGGATGCTCTCCCCGCTTTCCCTGCCCCTAGAGAATATGGGGAGGAGCATGGTGTTCCCTCCACCTCTGCTGGCCCATGAGGTCCCCTTTGAAAGAGGGGGGGACATTTCTGGATGTGGGGGAGGATAGCGTTGTGGGATGCATGCGGGGAAACTGAGGCACGGAGCAGTGCAGGGTGTCACATGCTGGAGCAGGGATCCAGGCTGGTCTCCTCTGCCCCCTGCCACGTACTCAGGACCGCAGTTACCTTCCTTCCCTCTGGATGCTGCTCCTGCCCTGGGTCTGGATGCCGGTGGGCACCATGCAGGAAGCACTGTGCGGGCTTTGGGATGGGTACAGGATCAGTGCGGTGTACCCATTGCCGCATCTGGGGGAATTGTCGTGGTTTAACCCCAGCCAGCACCTAAGCACCACGCAGCCGCTCACTCACTCCCCCCCCACCCAGTGGGATGGGGGAGAAAATCGGGAAAAGAAGTAAAACTCCTGGGTTGAGATAAGAACGTTTAATAGAACAGAAAAGAAGAAACTAATAATGATAAAGATAACACTAATAAAATTACAACAGTAGTAATAAAAGGATTGGAATGTACAAATGATGCGCAGGGCAATTGCTCACCCCCCGTCGACCGACCCCCAGCCAGTCCCCGAGCGGCGAATCCCTGTCCCCCCCTTCCCAGTTCCTAAACTAGATGGGACGTCCCATGGTATGGAATACACTGTTGGCCAGTTTGGGTCGGGTGCCCTGGCTGGGCATGAGAAGCTGAAAAATCCTTGACTTAGTCTAAACACTACTGAGCAACAACTGAAAACATCAGTGTTATCAACATTCTTCACATACTGAACTCAAAACACAGCACTGTACCAGCTACTAGGAAGACAGTTAACTCTATCCCAGCTGAAACCAGTACAGGAATATAGAGAGCAGCTGGACCTAGGTCTCCTCCCGTGCTAACCTTGACTTGCTGGATAGGGTTCTTTTTGGGGTGCAACACGGGGGGTCAGGCTGGCCTGAAATAGCAGCAAATTGACAGCCAACACTTTCCAGCAAACAATATGGAAAGCGAGGAGTGTTTTCCCACCGTATGCTCTTGGGGTGGCTCCCCTGGCATCTCTGACAGCCACAGTTGCATGAGGCAGAGAAAAATGGGGAACCTTCATTGGGGCTTCCCAGCCTTCCTCCTCCCGCATCTTCTCCCTGCCAAAGCCAGATGCTTTAGCTGCGCGTGCAGAAAAGTCCATTGTAGGCAGTTTTTGAAATAACTTGCCTAGAAAGGAAGTTTCTGCACTTCGAAGCTGGCTCCTGCCCCAATCTGGGCACATCACTGCTATTTTTTATTTAAATTCAGCTTGAGGAGCATGGAGAGGGGTTGAGAGGCTGGTGTCGGGTCTCTACAAATCTTTGGCTTTTTTTTTTTTTTTTTTTTTTTGTCCTCTGGACTGAGAGGCATCACGTGCCAAAACCCTGGCTGCAGTTTTCCCAGGCTCCTTCCTTGGATGCTTTTGTTGCTGCGCTTGCTGTGGGACCGGAGACAGGGGTCTCAAGAGACCGGCAGGTCACCCGTGGGCGGGCGGGTGACTCTGAGGATACTGGATGCTGGGGACCTGGTGCTGGGCTTAGCAATGATCCCGGGGGACCGTGTGGATTTCCATTGCAGCTTGCTGGTGCTGGTGCTGGGGTGTGTTTGTGAAGGAGCCCATGGGCATCCACAGATCCCAGGCTGTCTGTACCTGTCCCACAGTGGTTTTCTTTCCCTCTCCCCCCGCTGCCGCCTTATTCCCTTTCCTGGCAAAATATTTGCGTCCTGCGCAGGGGAAATCCAGTGGCTTTTGGCGGCCAGTATCATGCAGACAGGAATGTCTTGGCACGCAGGGCTTTCCGTTAGGAAAACAGATGTTTCTGCAGCAACTGAAGTTTTGCAAAGAGCTTCCCCCGGGGCTCAGAGGGGCAGGAGTCGGCAAGGCGAGTGGTGTGATCAGCGAAGCCTGTCCCTCACACCCTCCTCCCCTGTTTTGGGAGTGATTTGGGTCTCAGGCTCCAAATCCTGCTCTGTCACATTGTCACCAGGCTTGGGTCAGACCCTAGAAGGGGGGAAGTAAATGCACGAAGGGACCTGGCCAAAACAGCCCAGAGAGGTGCTGATGGTCCAGCCAGACCCTTGCCCTGAGCGATGCCCCTGCCTGGTCCTCTTGCCCTGCCAGCAGCCTCCCAGGGCTTGGGGGATGCTCTGGGCTTAGACCTGCACCCAGTGCCTCCAGTTCCTTGCTTACCCCTATCCCCATAGGAGACAGTGACATAAGTGCCCTGGATTTATTTCCCCGAGTGCGTTGGTGGCCGGCGGGTGCCATAAGTTGTTGCTCCGTGATGGTCGTGTCCCCAGGTCTTGGACAGGGTCCCCTGGAAGGACTCCCTGCAGGGTGTTCCCCATGTCGTGCTGTTCATCAAGCAGCTTGGGAGACCTGCCAGGGTGTGCTGGGCCTGGCATCCCTCAGCCACCAGGGTCACCTCGGTTCCCCCCAAAAAACCCCGTGCTCTCTGTCTCCCTGCCAGGCTTATCTGCGAGCGGTGGACGTGAAGATCCTGCAGCAGCTGGTGGTGGTGAATGAGGGCATCGAGGCAGTGAAGTGGCTACTGGAGGAGAGGAGCACGCTGACCAGCCGCTGCAGCAGCCTGGCCAGTAGCCAGTACAGCCTGGTGGAGAGCCAGGCGGCCTCGCGGCGGGGCAGCTGGGACAGCCTGCAGGACCCCAACGACAGGCTGGACAGCATCTCCGTCGGTAGCTACCTGGACACGTTGGCTGATGACATGGATGAGTATTCCCAAACTGCTGCCGAAACCGCCGCCGCATCCACACCGGGCAGAGCCCTGCTCAGGGTGGAGCAGGATTGGGCCAGGATCGACCCCGAGAGGGGTCTTGCAAAGCAAGAGAAGGGCAAAGCGGAGCACGAGTGGCCCCACGTGGACCTCTCCCCACCTGGGCTGCCCCAGGATCACCGGTTTGCTAAGGAGCCCCAGGTGGCCAACGGGCATTTGGGCCAGCAGCCCTCCTCTCTGGAACCGGGCAGAGACAGCAAATTGCCATCGGGGGCTGGGGAGAGGCTAGGGAAAGGGAATCCGGGTGGGAAGGCTCGGAAAGCCGAGGCTGACTTCGAGAACTGCAAACTCAACAGCAAACTGCACCTGGAGTATGATGCCCACTGGCGCTGGCTCCAGTCTCAGGACGATGTGACGTTCTTGTAGCCCGTGGCTTTGCCTTCCCAGTCCAGCTCTCCCAACTGCCTGCTCTGCTTCACTTGTCTCCGCTTGGGAGAGTTGGGGTGGCTGAAGATGGGGGGACAAGCTGGCTTGGTGGTGTTGCACTGTTCCTCTGCCCCCTCGTCAGTGTTTGGTGATGCAGCCCTAAGGGATGGGGTGACTGCTCTGTGGCAAATTTCTGGGAGAGGTGGGATGAGGTGGGTCCCCGTAAATTTAATCCTTTGCTCTGGGGTGGTGCTTGCAGGTGGCTGGTCACTCCTCTGTTGTCCTTGATGTTGGTGGCGGGGAAGGGTTGGTGGGGAAACTTAGGACAGTGGGACTCCTGGGACCTCTCCAATCTAATCCTCAGCCTCCTGTGTCCAAAAACTGGGGACCCTTCCCCCAAACCAGCTACCCAGAGAGGACAGGAGATGGTCCCACGCATCCATAGCTCGGTGGCACCAGCATGCTCAGGGCAAGGTGCTGGGCAGGACCATCAGCAGGGCATCCTTGTTGGATGTGCTTATTTCCATCATTGTCTTCAAGGCCAGTGTCCATCCAGGGTAGAGTTGACCTGGGGCACTTGGGGCTTGGCCACAGCACGTGGTGGATGCTAAAACCACCTTCCCTGTGGGTGAAGCCCTGCCTGGTTTAAACGCCTCTATGAAGCTGATCTGAAGTGTGATCAGGGCACTCACTGTAGCTGCTCCTGATGGGCTGGGGAGCCTTCGTCTGTGCCCTGCAGAGGAAGGATGATGGTGCAGACTTCCCTTCCCAATGTGATTACACGAGAAGGGCAAAGCACTGGGTGGGAGATGGAGATCCAGTTCTCCGAGTTTGTTTCCAGACTGTCTTCCACCTTGGGACCAGGTTCTGCAGAAACCCCAGGATGTGGCGGCATACGGGCAGCCTGGCGGAGCCTGTGGGGCTCAGACCCAGAAAGGCTCGTGCTTTCCCCCGACACAGTGTGATGGGGGTGGTGGCCGGGATTCTTCATCTGTGTGATGAATGGCACTGTGTCTCTGCCCCCTACCAGCAACCAGGAACATGAGGCTCCTCTGCTGGGGTGGATGTGCAGTGACCCTGCCCTGGAGACATCTTCTCTATCCTTTTAGCCTTGGCTTCTGCCTGTGCCTTTTACTGTCCACCCACCATGCCTCCCAGCACACTCCTCGCTGGCTTCTAGAGCATGGCTTGCAGCCGGAGCTGTGTGAGAGCTTGGGCAGGAACTGCTGCCTTCACCAGATGATGCAGGGAAGGACCTGAGCATCCCACAGCCCCCTGCTTCAAGGAGAGGGGCTTTTCCATGTGTGTGGACAAGCCTGGAGGATCCTGGCTTCCCAACCCATGGGTGCATCTGTCCTCGGCCAAGTGCTGCGACCGCTTTGCTCTTGCTGTGGCGGCTTTGCTCTTGCTGCGGTGCTGTTGTTCTCCTGCCTGCGTGGGTCGCAGCCTGGCTCTTTCCTTCCTGGGTTGGTGGGAATGGGGACAACATCTTCTGATGTCAATGGGAAGCCAAGAGAGAGGGAAGACCCGGCTGTGACTCTTTCTAGATGTGAGATGTGAGCTAGCCATGGGAAGGAAGGTGGTGTCAGGTGCACGACAGGTTCAGCTTTGTGTCTCTAAAGCATTGCCTTCAGTGGAAACTACTCTCCGTGCCGAGACCTCCCGAGTACCCTCCCTTCCCCTGCAGATCCTCAGGGTTTCCCTGGATGGACATGGAGAGCAGGACAACGTCCCAAATTCCCACCTGCCAAGGACTTGGGGGAGTCCCAGCAAACCAGGACCAGGTTGCCCTATGCGAGCATCCCATCTGCCTGCCCCGGAGCAGCCGTGCTTGGCTTGCAGTCTCCTGTGAGCAGCTTGTGGTTCCCTGTGTAGCTCTGCCACTGCCGCTGAGCCACCATGTCCCCCAAGGCTGGCTGTCCCCTGCTTTCCTTCTAGCCCTGCATGCGATGAATCAGCGGAGGGTCCCTGCGGGAGACAGGGTAAGTCCTCCAGCGCTGTTAAAATCATTCTCAACAAAATATAGCTGGCTTAATAAATGGTAGCGTTTCTCCCAGGCCACACTGTTGGTGCTTTGCCGAGCTTACGGGGGTTTCTAGGGGAAGGGGAGAGGCTCTGGGCTGAAATGCCCTGGAGCTGCTGGCAGCTCTGCGGGCAGGGCAGGTTTAGCCCCAGTCCTGAAACAGGCAGACCACGTGTCTGGGGATCTGTCCCTTCTGCCATCAGGGTGGTGACACATAAAAGTCACGCTTCCTGAAGCAGACGGGTACCAGAGCACGTCTGCCGGGAGCGAGGATGCTGGTGAGACTGGATCTCCAGGAGATGGGGCATACTGAGCTCAGCTGAACTATGTCTCCAACTACAAACAGCAGCTTGACCCTTCCTGCCCCAAATTTCCCAGGAAGATCTTTCTAGCTGTTTGCCAGCCCCGTTAGCTGTGCTGGGGTCTCAATTTGCTTCCCTTGGTCTGCAGCCCCAGCCTTGGCTCCTGTGGCCTCCTCCACCCAGGATGTGTGTGGGGGGTCTGGGTGTAGGACAGAGAATTCTCCAGCCCAGCCCGGGGCGGGAGCAGCCACAGCTCTGATTTTAGGCTGTTGGGATTTGCTCCTGGGTGGGTCCCTTTAAAACCACTGGAGCCGGTGCTCATGCAAACATCAGCCTTTCCAAAGCAAACGCAAGCAGGCTTATCCAGCCCTGCCATCCCAGCCTCAGCATCCGTTCCAGCTCCTGGCTTTGAAACCCTCAGGTTTTGCAGATGGAGAGGTGGATGCTGGAGCCATCAGGGCTCGGCAGGATTTCCCCGTTTGCTGCTGGGCTGAGATGAAAGATAAAATTAAAAAAATAATGAAGAAAACCTTAGAAACAATATGCCCAGCCCATTCCTCTTCCAAACCTAGACCCCAGTGGTCGAACAGCTCTGTATCGCCACAGATGAGCCTTTGCTGGGGCTCCCCTGGGCATGGACTCTTCAGTCTGGCTTACAGGAGCCTAAGTTGCCCATAGCCCCCAAATCTGGGTATCCCCCAAATCCCAGCCCTTGGACGTGGAGGGGTGGATGGGACCTCACAGTTTCCTGCCATTCCCTGCCCTGTCTCTGGGCTGCGTGGATGAGGGGTCACCCACCTCCAGGCTTTGCTCCGGCACATGCAGAGCCAACGTGTCCCAAACCCACCCTTGGGAAACACCCTGGGGACCTCCATCTTGCTAAAAGGTGGGTGCAGCAGTGGGGTACAGAGCACCCATGGGTGGGAAACAGCCTGCAGTGCAGATCTGCAGCCTCTCTCCTCGCTGCTGCCCGGGAGGAGCGGTCTGCCTGGCCCTGCCTGCTGCTGCCCTTGGGCTGTTCTTGGGCTGTTCAGCGCTGGTATCAGGTAAGAAAAGCAGATAAAGCAGGCAGAATCCCAGCTGGTGCCAGAAAACGCCCACCTCTGTTACAATAAAAACACCAGCAAACCAATTTTTTCTTTTAAGATATACACAGAGATTAGGCTGTCTTAACGAGGAAGTAAAACACTTTAATAGCTCCCCTTGCTAGTTATTAAAAAGTCCCCTGGGCTTTCCCCTCCCTGCGTGCTGCTTGGCTCCAAAAGGGCCTGTCCCCTGAGCGCTGCAGCCATTTAAGCAATTTATGTTAGTTCCTGCGGGGAGGCAGCGTGAAAATAACCTTTTCCTGGGGAGGGGAAGAGGCTGGTCCCCATGATCGGAGGCGAGGTGGCATCCAGCCCCTCTGCCAACCACCGTGGCCTTTGGGCTGGCAGCCCTGTGGCCCCACAAAAACCCGTGGGGTGCATCGCTGTGGGGTGTCCTGGGGAGCGGGTGCAGGGGACGTGCGGGTGCAAGTGCAGACTGCGGGGCCGGATCCTGGCACCCCCACCCTCCTCAGTGCTTTAGCAGGGGATGCTCCCTGTAGTTCCTTGTGCCATTCCCCATGCATCGCTCAGGGGACAGATGCTGGGAGGCAAACTCCGAGCAGCTTGGGGCTGCTCTAAAACGGGGGCTGTGCACAAGCACCAGCTTGTCTCAGACCTCCCTGCCGTGGCCCTGCCTCTGGCACCCACTGCTCGGAGATGAAAAGATAAGAAAAGGTCCAGATGAAGCAAGTCTAACCCAGGACTGACGGCGTCCTGCCCGTCGGTTCCTCCAAGCTGAGCACGGGCTGCTTTGCAGTGTGAACTGCTTGAAAATCAAACCCCTCGAGAGAAAGTTTTCAGCCAGAGCAGTGCGATGAAGTGACCCGGTGACACCAGTGGTAGTGGGGGGGTGTCCCTCAGGCCACCCCAGTCCGTGGGGGAGCAGCGAGCCCACGCACCCCATGGTTCTCGTAACCTTTGCTGGGGAGCAGCACTGCGAGCAGAGCCCTGGGCTTGCGCTGCCTGACCCGTTGCAGGCAGCATGAGGCAGGAGAGGTCAATAAATGGGGCAGGAAGGGCTGGTCATGCCGTCAAGCCCTGCTCTCAGCCTGCTGTGTTTTGGCAGCCGGGATGGTCTCCTGGGAAAGGCTGAAGTGTTGGTGCCGGTCGGAGCAAAGCAGTGATCCCCAGGGAGAGCCTTGTGATGCCAAAACCACCTCCAGTTCAGGACAGCATTCAGTCCCGGTCCCAAGGGAGCTGGCATCCAACCTGGCCCCATCATCCAGCTCTCCTCCGGCCAGCACCTCTCACCCAGCCCGCTCCCCACACCCTGCCCAGGACCCCCCAGTATGGGGTTAAACCAGCCCAGCAGAGGGTTCTTGTGTCCTGCATTTCCACCCGGTTTCCAGCTTTTCCTTCCCACTGGCTTAGGGTTACAGGTCTCCAAGGCAGGAACCTCCTACAGGTTTTGTGCAAAGAGGCAGCCGAGGAGCAGGGAGAGATGTCCCCCAGTGCCCATCTTCTAAGGAAAGGGATTGCAGCGTGTGCTCGACCTCTGTTACACACTGGAGAAGCCACACTGGGCTGGGGATGCTCCAACTGCCCAGGGCAGCTCAGGCACCAAGCAGGAGTCTCATGGTAATCTCCTGCCTCATCTCCATCTGTGGGACCCCCCGAGCTCCCCCCTGAGACTGCTCTTGGTGTCAGCGGCTGAGTGACCGGGAGGCTGGTGAATACGGGGACAAAGCTGGAGCGCGAGCCAGGAGCAAGCTGAGCCTTTGGGAAAGGCCTCCCCGGGCTGTTCCCTGCCCAGGCTGGCAGCGAGCCAGGCCTTTGCTTTGGAGACTAATCCTCCAGCTTTAGAGCTTCCCAGTGCTCCTTGGGAGTGAAAAACAAGCATGACGGCTTGGAGTCTCGTGGGTGTGTGTGCATGGGTAGGTGACGAGGACGGGCATGGGCTTGGGGATGCTGGGTGTCAAAAGGGAGTGGTGGCACAGCTCTCCCCTTCCTCCTCCCTGGGTGGTGGGCACCCACCCTAGACCATGAGGGTCCCAGAGGTGCCACCTTCTCCTTGCCACCGGTGTGACCCATCATTTGGTAAGAGTCCACCCCGCTTCCTACGCAGGGCTGGGACCTGAGGATGCCCCCGGTCAATGCCACCCCAGCGGTGAGACCAAAAGCTGTGTGTGCCCAGGACATGTGTGTGCTCCTGCTGCCACCTCCTGCCTGCCAGCTCTGCTTCGGTCCTCGGCAGGGAGAGGAAGAAAAATCTGAATTGGTCTCTGAGAAATTAATCTTCTTTCATCGTCTTAGCGCAGCCTGACCTAGAAGAACCACCCTGGTTTGTTTTTTTTTTTTCCCATGGGGTGTTTAAAGGGAAAATTCCAGCAAATGTATTGCAAAGGGGCAACCTGCAGCAGGGGAAAGTGATGTAGGCAGGGTCTGAATGGTTTTAGGCAGGGTTTCCCATGCTGCCCTCTCCTG